GGCTCGGCCGCGGGGCTTCACCGCGCTCCGGCTGCTTCCAGGAGGAGGAGGAGGTGGTCCCGCTCAAGAAGGAGAAAACTCATTTCACCGTCCGGCTGACCGAGTTTAAAGCCGCTGACAAGGTGAAGCTGATTAAGGAGGTGAAGAACTTCGTGCCCGGAGTGAACCTGGTGCAGGTGAGGTGGTGCTGCCCCAGCTCTGGGGTTTTGCCCCCAGGTCCAGCAGCCTTGGCTCTCTGTTCAAAGGGGAGCCTGGATGTGTGCATTCAGAAGCACAGCCTGCCTGTGTGCATCTCAGTGCAGGGAGACGTGCGGAGCAGCATTTGGTAGCTCCTTCATCTGGCATTTTCCATTGTCAGAACAGGGGGATAAGGAGGAGGCTCAGAGCAAAGGACTCAGAGATGTCCATGCCAGCCTCCACTTCTCCAAACCTGAGAGCTGCCGTGCATGAGCTTTCCTGCAGAGCTCAGGAGTAGCCAGCATTTCTTGCTACAGCTGGGTTTGGTTTGCCTTTCCCAAAGTCAGTGTATTTCTGAAGTTAAATGAGCCTCTGTAATTCACACTTCTTGCTGTCCAGGCTTCCAGCTCTTTTCAGGGCCCTTCATTTTATAGGTGGTGATACTTCTTTCCTTGGAGGAGTCAGGCCTCAGCCCTGGGCAGTGTCTGAGCTCAGCCCTTGACCTTGGATGTGGGCTCAGCATGTTGGGTGATGAAGCTGCTACTGCCAAAGCATGTAATGTGCTGCACATCTCCAGGGTGGTGCTTTCATATCTTGGGGTCAATAGTAGCACTTCCAGTATTCCAGCTGCAGTGTTGAGTATTGCAATGTCTGCTCCTGCTGTAACCCAGGAGAGCAGAAGTGTTTGCAGATAATCCTCTGATCCATTCTTGTTGCTGCATTGCAAAGCCAGTAGAGAGTCAGTGGCACAGGTACAAGTTTGGCTGTCTTGTGGGGATAATTTCCTGTCTGTCAGGAAGTTATCCTGGAACTTGTTCATCTGTTATTGGCCCCAAGCAAACATGAAAATACCAAACCCTGTAAAGGACACAATCAACAGATAATTAACTGGAGAGCTGATGCCCAGTGAGCCTGGCTTTGCATGTGGCAGCTGCTGCATGAGCTGTTGGTGGTGCCAGTTATTGCAGCTAAACTCAAGTGTGATGTACCCAGGCCCAGCACGCTGGTGAAGCACACACACACAACACAAACAGCTGTGGAGGTTCTACCTGCAGGGACTCTGTTCAAAGAGGAGCCAAAGCCCTTTTATTGTAAATTTTGCTGCCATCCAGTCAAGGTGTTTTTATGAGGTTTTTGGGTGGATCTGCCCATGGTCTCTAGGGCTGCTGGTGTTATGGAGGGAAGCACAGGCGGTGCTTACCTTGGGCACTGCTGGGACCCAGACATCAGTCCTGTGGCAATAACTGTGTGATGGGACAGGTGTGTGACCAGCACACTCGGGACCAGGGCTGGCTGCAGCCCAAGAAGCTCACTGGAGCTGCCCAGCAGATGCTCCCCCTGTCACCACCAGCCCTGGGCTCTGGCTGCACTGGGAGCTGCTGCTCTGCCCCATTGCTGCAGCTGCTGCTGCACGGGTTCCACTTGGCTTGGGCTCTGCTCCTCTTCCCACTGAACACCAGGAACAGCTGCCTCTCTGGACTGGGGCTGCTTTAGAATGGAGTCACGCCTTCCTGAGCAGAGTTCAGAAATTAATAACCTGTGTTGTGTTGCCTGTGCTCATCACAGTGAGCCTGTCCAGGCGCCTGTCCAAATCCTGTCCTGGTGAGCAAAGGCATTCCTGCCCCACCAGCCCACTGCTCACACATCTGTGCCTTCCAACCCCAGCAAAAAAAGCATTTTTCTTCCACCACAGATACAGAGGCATTGAACCCAGCAGGAATTAAAGGGACAAAACCTTCCTGCCAGCACAGTGGCCAGTCCAGTGGGTGCTGAACACCTGCAGTGCTGTGGCAGAGAGCTGCTGCGTGTAAGAGCAGCAGGGGCTTGTCCCCCTGGGCTCACTTCCTTCTCTATAGCAGCACTGCAGTAAATTCTTTAAATTAGCGCAATAGTTTTGCAGCTTGCCTCAGTGCTGCTTAGTACCAGTAGTTCTGCTTTAAAAGTCCCTGAAATGTCAGAGTGCTGTGTTGTCGAGTAGTCTGTGCTGGAGCTGTGTCCGCTCCCTGCAGTGGCCTCCCCTCCTGCTGGCACAAGAATGTGAACCAAAACACGGTCCTGAGCAGAGCCAGCCTGGCGGATGCTGCCCAGCAGGGCACTGCAGGGGCTCTGCTGCACCCCCTCCTCTCAGGGTGGCCTGCACGCCAGCAGCACCTGTGCAGGAATTCAAGGAAAGGTTTCCCAGCAGGTGTGTCACCACTGGCAGCCAGGGTTAGCTGCCTTCTGTGGGATGTGCCGCAGTTCAAGTGCGATTCTCAGGGTTTGTGCTGGTCACTGAGTTTCCACGGTTGGCTTAAGCAGAGGTCAGGATCATGGCTCTAAATCCAATAATCCAGTTAGTGAAAGCCTGTTTACAAGCCTGTACTTTGTCCCTCTCGCAGGCAAAGAAGCTGGTGGAGTCCCTTCCGCAGGAGATCAAGGCCAACGCCTCCAAGGAGGAAGCAGAGAAGATCAAAGCAGCGCTGGAGGCAGCAGGAGGGACTGTTGTTCTGGAGTAGGCTCGCCGTGGAGGGACTGGTGCTGCAGCTGCTGCCCCGGCCGGGCTCTGGACCTTTCCGAGTGCACAGTGGGAGCACTCTCCCAGAGAATGCTGTACGGTTGGGCAGAGCTGCTGCTTCTGCCATCACCATGAACTCTACCTTATAAATACCCAAAAAAACCTGTACAGTGGTTCATCTTTCTCAAGTGCTGATTGTCCCCGTGCTCCCCATGTCATGGAATCAGAATGGTTTAGGGCGGAAGTGACCTTGAAAGATCATCTCATTCCAGCCCCTTGCTATGGGCAGGAACACCTTCCACCAGGCGAGGTTGCTCCAAGCCCTGTCCAGCCTGGCCTTGAACACTTCCAGGGATGGGGCGGCCACAGCTTCTCTTTACAGCAGCCTGTGCCAGGGCCTCACCACCCTCACAGCCAAAACTTATTCCTAATATCTAATCTAAACCTACTCTGAGTTTGAAGCCATTCTCCCTTGTCCTGTCACGACACGCTCTTGTAAAAAGTCTCTCTCCATCTTTCTTGTAGGCTCCCTTCAGGTACTGGAAGCGTGTACCAGCGCATCACCCACCTCCTCACACTGCCTCTTGCTGATGCCTCACCTCTCTGTTAGTTATTTACGAGAAGAACACACTCCCACAGGTTGTGGAGATGCGTGCGGGGTGGGAAGGTGTATTCTGGAGCTGTGATTGTCCCTGCGCTCAGTGTGTGCACGCTGGAACGCTGCCCTGTGTACCTGTGCCTCCCGCCCCTCTTCACTCTGGCTGATGGCTTCAGCTCCCCATTAATTAATCCCTTAACGATGGCTGGGAAGGGCCTTCCCCGGGCTGGAAATGGGGATGCGTGCGGGGTGGGAGCGAGGATTCCGGAGCCTGCGGCTGCCGCGTTCGCCGCAGGTCGGGGATNGCGGAGGAGGCAGAGCGCCAGCGCCAGATCCAGCTGGCACAGAAGCTGGAGATCATGAGGCAGAAGAAGCAGGTGAGGCAGGGGAGCACATCCGGGGTATTGCAGGGCAGCCCAGGGCGGGCAGGGGTGGCTGCCCTGGTGGCAGGGGTGTGTGGTGTGGTGCCTCCCACCACCCAGCCCTGTTCCCACAGGAGTACCTGGAGATGCAGCGTCAGCTGGCCATCCAGAGGCTGCAGGAGCAGGAGAAGGAGAGGCAGCTGCGCCTGGAGCAGCAGAAGCAGACCATCCAGATGAGAGCCCAGATGCCAGCTTTCTCCCTGCCTTATGCTCAGGTACAGCTGCCAGGCTAGGCTCTCCCTTCCAGGTTCCAGGGGCTGCGGCTTTAACCTGGCTTTCCTTTTCCCACCAGCTCCAGGCCATGCCCGCAGCCAGCGGGGTGATCTACCAGCCCTCTGGGCCCACCAGCTTCCCTGGCACGTTCAGCCCAGCTGGCTCTGTGGAGGGCTCTCCCATGCACAGCGTGTACATGAACCAGGCTGCACAAGGGGGAACTGGGCCCTATGCTGCCATGCCTGGCACTGGTACGTTGGGCAGCTCAGCCTGTGGGGACAGGGGAGAGTCTGGGGTGGTTTCTCCAACCTCTGCTCTCTCCCCCCAGATCCCAGCATGGTGAATGCCTACATGTACCAGGCGGGTGCCAGCAGTGGGCAGGGGCCTCAGCAGGGGCCGGCGGTGCCCACCACTACCCCTGCATATTCATCCTACCAGCCCACACCCACGCAGGGCTACCAGGCAAGTGAGGCAGCATGGCCTGCAGCCAGCTGGGACAGGGGCTGGGGGCTCTGTGGGCTGGACAACGTACCCAAACTCAGCAGCGAGATCTCTGAGCAGGAGGGAGGACGGGCTGGTTGGTTCCAGATCTCCACATCTGCTGCTCTTGCTGTGGAAGTGGGCTGGAGTGAGATCCAGTTCTGGGCTCAAGGGACTTGTCTGGAGAAGTGAGCCATTGTTTGTGCCACCTCTCACCAACCTCTCCCCACAGACTGCAGCCTCACAGTCGCAGAGCATCCCAGCCATCTCCCAGGCACCCCAGTCGGGCACCATGGGCTACATGGGCAGCCAGTCTGTCTCCATGGGCTACCAGCCCTACAGCATGCAGGTGAGCACTCCCTGCTTGGGCGTGGGGGACAGGGCATGGCTGGGCTCCAGCCCATGGACCCATCCTGGGGGCAGTCACCCACTGCTGCCCTGTGGGTGCTGCATGGACCCCAGCCCCTCTGACAGCCACCCCCTCGTTCCCATAGGGTCTTATGTCTGCCCTGCCGGGCCAGGACACAGCACTGAGCAGCCTGCCAGCCCAGCAATCCTACCTGCCCGGTCAGCAGCCCCTCTACCAACAGGTGAGTGCCNCTGCCAGGCTTGGGCTGCTGGGACAGCCAGTGGCAGGCACACACTGACTCTTCCCCTTCTTGCTGTCCCCTTCCAGGGCTTCGTTCCTGCTGCTGTCCGGCTGGTTCCTCAGACTGTTCTCACCTTTCTGTTCCTGGAGCAGCTGCGCAAATATTTTGGGATCAAAGTGACCACCTGAGTCTGGGGGACTGGACCCTGCCTTGCCCCAGGGGGGTGAGCGTGTGGGTTACCCCCAAGATCCCAGAACCCCTCTCTGCTCTCTGGGGCCAGTGCCATTACCCCTCCTCTCAACTCTACTCCTGTGCCTTGCCAGCACCTGTGGCCAACCTCCCCTCACAAACTCACCCTTCCTCTCACCCCTGTTCTCAGCATCTCCACCTCTGCATTACTGCTTTGGGGGGTTTTGGGGGGGATTTCTGTCTTCCTACTTCTCTACTGGCTCTGAGTTGTGTCCTTGCCCCCCCTGAGCCTTGTCCCTGATGTGCCCCCAAAGCAGGACTGTGCTGTCTCAGGGAGTACGGAGATCAGAGGCCAGGCTCTGTCACAGAGCCCGTGGGGCTGCTGCCCCTGCAGCTGTGGGCTGGGGCTTGGGGCAGGGTCTGTGAGGCCGTGTCCTCCCTCTGCCTTTAGCCCCCGTGCTCCTCCCTAAGCCCAGCCCAGCTTGCACCTCCTGCCCTGCTCCTGGCCTCCCACCCCCTGCTCCTGCTTGGCCAAAGCTCCTCAGCACCGCTGGCTGCTGGGCTCTTCAGGGATTGTGCCTCATACCAATGATGGTGGGGAGAGGACCTTGCTCTGGCAGGGCTGCCAGTGCCTGCTTGGGGACCCAGTACTCTCTTACCACACTGCACCCACCCCACACTGGATCTGCTCCTATGGGGGCGTCCCCACCACCACTCCGCAGCCCCTCTCACCTTGCGGCTGGGCAGACCCCACTCCTCACAGCCCCCTCACCCCACACTGCCCACTGTGAGGGGGCTGTGAGCACCAGCCCCTCTGCTATGGCACCCCTGTGTGAGCTGGCCCCAAGGAATCAAAGAACTGGAATATCTGAGACCTTGCTGTATAATAAAGAGTGAAGGTGGCGCAGGGCCTGCTGTCCTGTTAGGAGGGAGAGATGCTGCACTCCTTTTCATGGCTGGGGGCATGGGCCGGGAGCTGAGCCCCCCAGAGCTGAGAGAGGGCAGCAAGGCTTGGCCCTGGTGGTGTGCCAAGCTCTGTGCCCAGCACCCCTGGCCGTGTGGNCCAGCCCGTGGGAGCTTGTGTGGGGTGCCTGGCGAGGCGCTAAGAAAGGGAATTAGTCTGGCACCTGCCTCTAGGTCTGTCTCCGAGCCAGCGTGATGGCTGTGACGTTTGGGCTGCATCCCCATGCTGTCCTGTGTGGATGAGCAGCCCCTGCATTCCTGCAGTGCGAGCAGCACAACCTGGCCAGCTGTTTTTGCCAGATCAATAATCACACTGACAATTGAATGCAGACCCTTCTTTGGCCATGTGTTCCCCCACAGCAGGGGCTGGTGCCAGGCCTGGGGAGGCACAAGGGGCCTCAGGCTCTGGCAGGGCAGGGGACGAAGGGCGCTTCATTGCACCTCTGGACTTTGGCCCCAGTGAGAGGCCCTGGCCAGCTCACCTACAGAGTGCTTGTGCCCTTAGGCCAACTGTGCAGCTGCAGGCTGCCCACGGGCTGCTGGCCCTGCAGTGACCAGCAGTGACCAGAGCCTGGCCAGCCCGTCCCATGCCTGCCTGCCCTTCCTGCAGAGCTGGGACTGCAGGCAGTGGACCGTGTCCCTACATGGCCCTGCCCGCTTCAGCTGCCCCAGGCTGTGAACTGCCACAAGCTCTGGTCCCTGATGTCCAAAATCCACCTGTGGGGATTGCAGGCAGGCCCCTGCACCCCTGCTGCTGCTTCATATGAGAGACAGTGGCTGTTCCCAATATCCTGCAGAGAGTCACACGACCCAGCTGTGCCACAGCTTCCGTAGTGGCCTGATCCCCTGTCAGCAGCCCTTTGCTCTGCTTATCTCCTGGGGCCTTTGACCCACATGTGGTCTCCGCAGCGCTCAGAGCGTGCTCCAGCATCAGCCCACACGGCTGCCCTGTCCCAGCCAGCTCCTGTGCCTGTCACCGTTGCCCCTGGAGATGGTGGGAAGCGTTGGGCTGCTGCAGGCAGGAAGGGGAGCGCCTGGCCAGCTGTGGGGTTCTCTTCCTGCACTGAGGAGGAGGGGAAGTGGCTCTGCAGGCCTGCTGCATTGCATGGCCGTGATTTCACCAGCCCAGCTGCATCCCCTCGAGCAAACCCACACAGGGCTCACTCATGTACTGCAGGGCGCACACCCACACACCCGCACCTTCCACCCTGAGGTGCCCCGGAGGGCAGGCGCACCCTTCACCTTGGGCGGCTGTGAGGGCAGG